TGAATATAAATTAACATCAAATATTCCTAAAATGAATACTTTTTTAAAAAAACTTTTTGTTACAACTTAATTTTTTATAAAAATATATAGCTGTAGCTAAAATACATTGGGATTTATCATTCCTCTGATAAGAGAAATGTCTTGGAACCTAATGAAAACCCCTGGCAATTTGAGCATTATATGATACTAAATTATACCATAATTATTTCAAAGGTCAAGAATTTTACACATTTAGTCTTAAAACTCTCCACCCAGGTGAGGCAATCAGAAAATGAAAGTATGTATGAAAATATTTAATTATACAAAACAAGTAGAAATCTATTAATTTAATAACATTTAAATAAAGTGTGCAATACTTTCCCACATGGGTATTTTTTTTCTTCTGTTGTAAAAAACTGAACTTTTTAAAAGAGAATTCTTTTAAGTGACTATGAGCACATATTTTACTTTCCAATTCTAGTTTCAAGGAAGATTACGACACATTGGTTTGAAATGAAGTGGCAGGTAAAACTGCTGCCTGCCACCGACATTCCATATGGGCACAATTCAAGACCCAGCTGCTCCACTTCCCATCCTGATCCCCACTAATGCACTTGGGAAAGCAGCTGAAGACGGTCCCAGTTTTTGGACCCCTGAACCCAGGTGGGAGACCCGGAAGAAGCTCCTAGCTCCTGACTTATACCCGGCCCAGCCCTGGCCATAGTAGCCATCTTTCAAGTGAACCAGCGGATGGATGGTCTGTCTCTGTCTCTCTCTCTCTCTCTGTATCTCTCTCTCTCACTCACTTACTCTACCTTTCAAATAAATCTCATAAAAAAGAAAATATGTGCCTAGAAAAAGGAACCAAGTACTGTAACACTTGCTAACTCATAAGAAACTCCTTAGAGCTATTATGTTGGGCATGACTGTACATTTGAAAAAACAAAACCAAAAACCTGGCTTAGACTCAGTCTAGCCCTATTAGAATTTATGGATGAGTAGGGAAGAAAAATGAAACAAGAGGACAGATGAGCGTTGTTTTCCAAACTTTCATAAGAAGGACTTCAAGAAGCAAATGTTTACTAATAGGAAGAGCCTTTCTAATCCACACCTGTTAACATCAGTAATATCCAATGCAATGATGGAATGGGTAGCAAACTATTGTTTTCTCAGAGATCCCTAATGAGACAAATGGCACAATACAGTGGTTAGCAGCATGTTCTACAAAGACAGAGCATTTGTTCTTGTATCTCAATTTTACCACGCATGGACCAGTTGATTTTGTTTGTTTCAGTTCACCTCTCTCTGCTTCTGTTTCCACATTTATCATTATATCAATACACACAGTTCATGGAATGACAGTGTTGTTGGGAGGATCAGTGAGTTCATGTGAGCAAAGCAGACAGAGCAGGGCCTAGTCCATAGAAGACATTTTCTAACTACATGAATTGATGCATCCTAAGAGACTGGAGATGGGCATCTGGCCTACTGGTTAAGACGTCACATGGGATGCCCCCATCCCATATGGCAGGGCCAAGATTCAAGTTCTGGTTCTGCTCTCCATTCTAGCTTTCTTCTAATGCAAACGCTGGGAGGCAGCAAGGAAAGGCTCCTGCCACCAAGTGGGACACCCAGATGGAGGTCCCTGGCTCCCAGCCTCAGCCTGGTTCAGCCCTAACCATCACAGGCAACTGGAGAGAGAACCAGCATGTGGGACGTCTCTCTCTCTCTCTCTCTCTCTCTCTCTCTCTCTCTCTCTTTCTCTCTTTCTCTCTACCTCTATCTCTATGTCTCTCTATCTCTCTCCCCACCTCTCAAATAATAAGAATCAACAATTTAAAGAAATACAAGGCTATTTAGATGCAGGCCTCATGTAGCCCATGGTTAAAGAAAGACATTAAAACATTTCATCAACCCACACACTCAATTATGCAGCTGGTTCACTCCTTACCTCTGTGTTCAATGAACCCACCTCTTAGCAGTGTTTTGCAATCTGGTCAGCAGAGGCCCTTAGTGCACTTAAGGGAACACTATGAAGTAAACATTTAATTCCATCATCTGAACCAGAAAGATTCCCTTTCAGCTTGTCTATATTATTTATGTGCAATACAAAAATCACAACCACAAGCGCCATGTATCCAGAAAGAATACAACTATCAAAATGAGCATGGTTAGCTGTTTTGAGGTTTTCAGTTAATAGACTTTGCCAACTATTTGAACATTTGCTATTAAAGAAGAAGGAGTCATTGATGGAGACTTAAGAAAAATACGGAATAGAAAAACATAAAACTAAGAAAAGTCTAGATACTAAATCCCATCATTGTTATTGCTTTTTTCAAAACTATGTTCTACCTATTTTATTCATGCAACAAAGCAAGTCTATTGAAGACTCTTCTGATATACAGGTCTCTAGAAACCCAGCAGCTATCCATCTCACCAAAATTGTTTCTGCCACTTTCCCCTTCTACTCGTGAGGTTTTAGATTTCACCTCAATTCATTCTGCAGACCAAGAGACTTGCTATGAGGCTGAAGCAGCTGTGCTGTATGAAGAGAACTACAGAATCTCTGAGCCAAACATAACTTTTAAGAATAATCTAATACATACCCTTAATTTTATAAAACAAGTGGCCCAGAGAAATCAAGTCCCCCAGCCAGCAAGTAGCAGAGTTGAGAATTTTTTTTTAATTTTTAATTATTAGTTCAGTGTGTTTTTATCTTTTTACTATACTACATTGTCAGTGAATAAACAACTTCAAAACTGAAAGAAGAAACAATGAAATTTTAGGGCATAAATTTATATAATGAAAAAAATTGTAGCAATCCAAATATGGACAAACAGGAAACAAGAAAAGGGGTATTTTAATTTAGATTCAAGTACCAGAATACAAGAAACCCACATGGGCAGGGCACTGGTGAAAACACTCGTATCTCACATCAGAGTGCCTTAGTTCAGTTCCTGACTCCAGCTTCCTACTAATGCAGACCATGCGAATCAGCAATGATGGTTCACGTGATCAGGTCCCTGACACCCACACGGGAGAGCTGGATTGAGTTCCTGGCTTCAGGAAGTCTCTGGCATTTGGGGAATAAGTGCCGGGGGGGGGGGGGGGGACAAAAAATATGGATCTCTCTCTCTCTCTCCCACCCATCTTAAAAAATGTTAAGTTTTAAAAATGAAAAACCGAAACCTACAATAGATAATGCTATAGCCTAATGGAGAATACACAGATCACAGGATTCAATCAGCATATCTAGACATTTTCATTTGTATTTCGTATTTCTCATGACTCCAACACAAACTGAACTGCACTTTGTAATAAGCAGATTACAAAGGACTTCATTTATCCAGATCTGTGTGATAACTTAAGTGTACAGGTGAAAAGGAAGGACAGAAAATGTGGAACTATATTTCATTCAAATGATGTTGGTTTTCTTCCTTGCACATATGTTACTTATGAAGCTGTATTCTTACATTAGAAACCAGCTATGCTATTAAAAGCAAGCAATAACGAATATTTTTATAAAAATTCCATACAACCTATTTCAAATTGGATTGATATGCAAATGCTACCATTCTTTAATATTAAAATAAGTAAATATCCAATGGAAAATAAGAGGTTAGGGATGTAATAAGTAAATTCAAATGTATAAAACAAGTAGATTTCAATTGCATTCAATTATTTCACCCAATCACCCAGAAGCGAAGATCCTCTAAAGAAAATTGCATTGCCTACCCAACTCCTTGGAGAGCCAGTTTAGTTATCAGCCTACCTATACTTCAGAGATGACCAAGGAGCTTACATGTCAAACTCATTTTAAAGTGTCAATCATGTCCCTTTCAATCTAATTAGTTTGGAAAGTAGTGTCACTGACCTGGAACTATGCAGACCATTTATTATCATATCATTTGATCATCCTAACATTTTACCTTAGTTGAGTTTGAGACACCTGTAGCCAAAATGTAATATTCTTTCTACTACTCATTACTGGTAACTCTCAATACAATTTCCTATTTACAACTCAATTTCTCTCTATGAATAAGCATGGCCAACTTCACACAGGCATGCCACAGAACTTCCTTTATTTAACATTTCATGGCAATTAAAACCACTAAAGGGAATATATATACACACATATATAACATTCAACATTTTACATTCCCAAGAACTGCTTAAGGGGAAAAGGAGGAAGAGCAATAGATATGCTCGGAGAAATTTGGAACCCTAAATATGTGGGGTGGCAGGGAGTGGATAACATAAAATAACGAACCATATAAAAATATCTATAGAGTTCATTATCATCACTTGGGTTTGTTTTATAATGCAAACTTTCTCAAGTTCATAGTATTTAACCTGATTTTTACCAAGGGCAGAATGAGACAGAGAACTGAATAAAAGCAGTGACTTGTTCTCCACAAGTCTGAGTATACAGCTAAGGGCCCACAGGGAGGAACTAATAGTGGCTAGACTAGAGTGAGGTCAGACTGGGTGAGGCTCCACACAGCACAGGGTCTGGAAGGTGATGGTCAGTCCAGCAACAAAGATCACCTGGCCCAGTCTCTAGCAAGATCAAGAAAAGTATCCCATCTTTTTCTTATGTTGGCTTTGCATATTTAAGAACTGATTTGCAAGACAAAAATACAAGCAGGTAATCTTATCTCAGAACTATAGACTAGCATATTGCATGCGGGAGGGAACAAGTACTCAAGCTCAGATGTGCCACCAAAATGTTGTATTCATATTTTTAAATGTGGCATTAAAAAAAAGCACAGCAGCTATATTTAAAGTACTGACTATTCCCTCTAGAAGACGACAATCTAAAAAACCAGGATGTCAGCTGCCAATACTTCTTTTCTACCCCGTGCTTTCCATTGGGGAAGTTAAGCTGCCTTCTACCAAAATTCCTGTTTGTCTGAAGGGTAAGCAAGATTTCTTCAACTATGTGTGCTTGATCAAATCATTACTGGTGAATACGATTTTTACATCGGACCAAATAAAGTATGCATATAACTCACACTTACCTTCAGGTGAAGAGCCTGTCTTTTGGGAGAAGACAGCATTTACTTTGCTCTTCTTACTGATATCGCTGTTTACAGACAAGCTGGATTGAATTTTTCTATGCATCTTTTGAGAAACAGGTGCTGAAAGTTTGCGATTATCTGCAGATACATGTTTGGCCCCGTGGTGAATTCCACCTCCATTGCTCAGACCTGTGTGGCCACCGTTCCTTATCTTGCCAAGTTCCTCCTCACTTGGTTCCTGTGCGGAAGGTTGAAGCTGCGGTAAGCGCTGAGGTTGGGCTAAATTAGGAAAGAAAAAAAATGAAAAGACATTCAGTAATTTCAGTAATGGAAATTTAGATTTTCCCCATAATTCTAAAACTGAAGAGGGGAAAAAAGAGAAAGAGGGAGAATAGATGGACAAAGAGAAAGAATAACTACTGAAAGTTAGAAGAGGAGCAGGTCATCAAACATGGTTTTATACAAGTATATCATAAAACAGGGTACAGAAACACTGGTTTTGGTATTTTAAAAAGAAATTTAAGTTTGTAACCTGAGAAACTAACAAAATGTTTCTTGTTTTATACATGCTGGGCCCTCTTTTCAGTGCTGTAAGCACAACAATATTATCTCTAAACTCCTAATAATGATAGACTACTCGACTATCTTTTTGAAACAAAGGGAAAGGAATAACGAATTTAGCTATTCAAAGCTGAATTGGTACAATACAGAAAGAACTGTGGCTCTTTAAAATTCTATTTTAAATCCTGCCTGGAGAAGTAAATATTTTCTCTAAATATTCCTTTATAACAAAAAAAAACCCACACAATTTACGGAAAGTGAGGGGAAATGAGAAATTATTTCAACTGATAAACATAGCTACCAAAATCAACTGTCAGTAATTTTGTAAACACTCCTGTTTTGGTCAAGAGCAAGCAAGGACTGCTTGCTGCCTTTCACCCATCTTAGAAAACATTACACTGGAGATCCTAGTGAAACCAATAAACAAAGAGAAAAAGTGGGTCTGAGCTCTGGAAAGAAAGAGTAGGATTCTGAGGTGTGCACAGATTATAATATTCTTTAAAAACTAATATACAAATCCTCAAAGACTAAGAATTTAGCAAAATATAAGCAGGATCAATCATATAAAATCAACAATTATTCTCACATGCCAACAGTAACTGAATAACAAATATAGAAGAAAAATAAAAGCTTCACAATAGCAAAAAAGGAAAAATAAAACAGTAACTAGGAATTAAACTAAGAAAATATGGGCAGAGATTTTATGGGCAGGATGACAAAACATTAACTAAAGGGTGTAAAGAAATCCAAATAAATGGAGAAAGTATGCATTTGTTGATTCTGTTAATATACTTATTCTTTCCAACTTACTTAGATAAAATATTTCCGACATTTCCAACAAGCTTGTTTATGGAACTGGAAAAGCTGGTAAAAACATTTATAAGGAAGAATAATCAAGACTCACTAAGGAAATTTTAAGGAACAAAAAGAGTTTTGGGACTTGGCTTGCTGGACATGAAATCTAATTATAAAAGTACAGTAACTAAAGCAGTGTGGTGTTGGACTAGACAGACATATGAGCCAACAGAACAGTAGAGTCCCAAGTAGGTAGGTCTGTTCATATATATGCATGTGTAACTCATACATGTAAATTCCAGGTATATTAAATGTCTCTACATGAAAAGCAAACATTTTCATTTGGGGCTGGTGTTGTGGCACAGTAGGTTGTAAACCCTCATTCCATGTGAGTGCTGGTTTGAGTCCCCACTGCTCCACTTCTGATCCAGCTCCCTGCTAATGCACTGGGAATTCAGGGGAAGATGGCCCAGTACTTGGGACTCTGTCACCCACGTGGGAGACCCAGATGGAGTTCTGGGCTCCTGGCTTCAGCCTAGCCCAGCTACACAGTCGTGGCCATTTGGAGAATGAACCAGTGGATGGAAGATACCTCTCGCTTATTGTCTCTCCCTCTATTTCTGTAACTCTGCCTTTTAGATAAAATAAGTAAATCTTTTGTAAGAATTATGTTGTGGGGGCCAGCAGTGTAGTGTAAGATGATACCAGCATCCTAAATGAGTGCTGGTTTCTATCCTGGCTGCTCCATTTCTAGGTAACTCAAAGTAGTGGGGGCCGGCACTGTGGCATGGTGTGTAGGGCCACTGCCTGCAGGGCCGGCATCCCATATGGGTGCCTGTTTAAGTCTCAGCTGCTCCACTTCTCTACTATGGTCTGGGAAAGCATTGGAAGATGGACAAGTCCTTGGGTCCCTGCACCAGCGAGGGAGACCGGGAAGAAGCTCCTGGCTCCTGGCTTCAGATTGACACAGCTCTGGCCATTTCGGTCATTTGGGGAGTGAACTTTCTCTCTCTTTCTCTCTCTCTCTCTCTCTCCCCCTCTGTCTTTCTGTCTCTCTCTGCCTCTGCTCTCTCTGTGTAACTCTTTCAAATAAATAAATGAATCTTTAAAAAAAAATAAAAGGTATCAAATGTAAAGTTCACACAGTTATGCTTGGTATTGAGAAATGTCTCAAAGGGACTGATTATTCAGTTTGGGGACTAGCTAAGACTTGGTACCAATTTTTAACAAAGAGACAATTTGTATTTGAGTAAGTCTTCACCACAAGATTGTTTATTTCAGTTCTTATTCACATAGTCTCTATATCTTCAAAAAGAACATTCTAACATATCAAAATACCCTACTCCTGAATGTGCATATTTCAAGAAAAGGAACCAATTCAATTAGTTCACTTGACAAAAAAAAAAAAAAAGACATGGTTTCATATCAAGTCTATCAACATTAAAACCTGAGTTACCAAATTAAAACATGAAAAATCTCTTACAGTCTTTTGGTTCCCTTGTGAAAAATAATTCTCCATAAGGCAAGATTCAGAAATACCTAAAAAAATGGTCATAAAATAGTTGTTCTCCTACATTTGCAATAAAAGGAAAAATAGAAAAGGTCACTTCATTGAGCAACTGTGTCTACCCATCTCATAACTAAAATCTACAATCAAGGCATCTTAAAAGGAGATCTATTTCTTATGGTTGTGCAGTCACTTGATTTGAAGATTAATTTGCTGCTCCTGTAACTTCTTGTATCAACTAGAATGACATTTTAATGACTGCTGTTGAATTTAAAGCTAGTTATGCATATGTATTTAAAAGGATGCCAAAGAAGACAGTTAAGTCTAATTTGATGTTCTTTTCAGGGCACTTTCTAGTAATCTCACCAAATAAATGGGATGTTTGGCGCCACTTTCTCTCTGAAAAGAATAATTCAAGATTTATGAGAGCTTGGTTAATTCAAATTGTCATTGGTCAATGCCGCGAAGACTTCTTATCCATCAAAAGCATCCTGCCATATTCTATAACCCAAGGTAAATTTATAATTACTATGGAATCGCTATGCATGCTCAATAAACAAAAATACACATGGTAGAATACAACTGTGTCCTGCCACCAAATTATAAATTTGACAGATCTGACCTTTTGCTACTATCAAAATTGACTATTTGCAAATTACCAGGTATGGTGGCAGTGATAGTCTAACATATTCTTAATGATTAAGCTACATTTCAACCTTCAGCATGATATTTATTTCCTTTGGAAGATAAATGATAGTACATTACTTTTGCTTCACTCTTACCTAATTATTGTTGCTATAGTTTGTATCATGGTCAGGAAGTCACGTATTATTTCTTCACTCTAATTTTTAACATCAAAACAATTTAATTTTATGATTTTTCTCATGTGCAGTTTTACATAAATAAGATCAAAAGTGGATATGCCCTAGGTATATGAGTTATTTTAATCAACATAACATTTAGCATTGTTGATCATTTTTATTCATATGACTTCCATCTTAAGATTAAATTATTATTAAAATCAATTAGGAAATATGATCTTATTTTCAAAAAAAAAGAAACAAAAGCACCAGACTGATTACACCACAACTACGTGGTTTTTCCTTATTGTGTAAAAGTTGTGTATGGCTTTAAAAAAAAAAAAAAACAGCACGCTAATATGGGAATGACACAATGCTTCTTAAAACACAAGTGATGCCTAGGGACCCTCACTCTCCCTTTAATGATCCACTGCTCTCATTCAGCTGTCTTTCTTTTTTCAAATCTTTACATATGTGACAGCTCTCAAAAGTAGACCATAGACCATCTGGCATTTTCAGAGGTGTGACTTGTGCAAATTCAGCTCTATTGGGAGCACACTGCTATCTTCTGCCTGCGTTATAAAGGGACAATAGAATGTAGAACTTATGAGTTGTTTTGAATTATTCATTTTTTTGCCTGTATATTCAAGAAATTTTACAAACTCTGCATTTTGTACTACATAATCACATGCGTTAAAGGTACAAAGAAACTTTTTGACACCTCTTTTCTACAGAAAGCTGGCATTTTGTTTGATATGTGAACATTCAGCATCTGTTATATCATTCTAAACAGGATGGGTGCTTCTACAAAAGACCCCATTTTAAATTTACTCTATATGAGCAAAAAAATGTATTCTTGATATTCAGTAACAAATGCAATACACATCAAAATTTCAAATACCAGTTATAAGAACATTCAGCATCTTCAAACCTGGATAGCACTGGTCACCCGCTTACCATATGTGTAGGGATTTTTTTTTAATCATTGCTCACACAATGCAGCATGACTGTAATTTTAACATCCATGATGAATAGTTACAAATGTCTTAAGAAATACTGTGCTTTCTAGGTTCAAATGTTTTCAATCAGGAAGGAAACCAATAGAATTAGGTCTAGTGATTTTCAATAAGAATAATAAATATGGGCGTAAATGAATCAATAGCATGGACTTCTTTTGATAATTTTTTTAAGCTGGGTGATATTGTAGCTAGTAGTAACTACACTTGAAATGACAGCTGCTGTAGTAGTAATATAAAGCAACATTTTGCTATAGCATATAATCTATTAGCATGTACAAATCATCTCCAGTCACTGGTCTCTTTATACAAGTCAGATTTAATAAAATTACAAAAGATTTCTCATACCGTTTAGTTTAAATGGTTGTTGTACACATAAAAATATCAAAATTAAATGCTTAGGATTTAAAATTGCTAATAACAAAATGATCAATACAGAATATGCAGTCAAGGAAATGACTTAGCATAAAGCTAAACTACTTTCTCCATGGATAGTTATGAAGCTTTTACTGGGTGCCCAGTGCTATGTCACTATGCAACAAATACGTATTCGTGTACATATCACAAATGGCAGACATTGCCTGTGTACATACATGCTAA